CTCCCTCTCTCTCTCTCTCTCTCTCTCTTTCTCTCTCTCTCTCTCTTCCCCTCCCCTCTCTCTCTCTTACCCTCCCCCTCTCTCTCTCTTACCCTCCCCTCTTTCTCTCTATCTCTCTTACCCTCCCTCTCCCTCTCTCTCTCCCTCTCTCTCTCTCTCTCTCTCTCTCTTTCTCTCCGTCTCTCATTGATGAGCACAATTTTCCGATTTTTTAAAAAATACTCCTACATAGAATCTCATTATCAAAATGTTTTATTGTCTAGCAGATGTCCCACTCAATGCCATCTCCAGATGTCCCACTCCATGTCATCTGAAGATGTCCCACTCAGTACCATCTCCAGATGCCCCACTCAATATGTTGAATTTAATCATTTAAATTTTGCATTGAGTCTTACTTATTTGATCCACCACCCCCCACCCCCCTCCTTTTTCAGAAAATGAGGAGAAGACGCCCCCTTAAGCAAGCGAGCTACGCCCCCTGTGATGTTTATTAATTTCATCCATGTATAAAACGATGTTGATGGATCAGCCAATTATATAATACAACTAAGGAAATAGAAACGACTACACAGAGACGGGTGGGTGGGGGTGGGGAGGGTGTCCGTCAGCTTGAATCCAGGCTGCCAAACATTATTATTTTTAATTTAAGTTAAGTCAATGTAGCTGAGCTTACTAAGTTGTGCACTCATGCAAAACCAATCAATGTTACTGAACAGTGATATTTCTGTAACCTTCCGTAACAACAGGTTGGGGAATCACGCTGTGCTTTTTAAATCGGTAATTGACATTTACAAAATTAATGGTAACAAATTTAACGAAACAAAAGCAAGAATCAATTGCAATGTTAAAATATTTTTTTTTTTTTTGTATTCTCTTTTAACTTGAAATCCACAAATATTCACACGATTAAGAGGTATTGAACTATCGTCAATATTTAAATTTTGTAAATATCCTTAATATGATAAGAAAAAAAAATATTTTTTTTGCAACTTGTACCCATATTTGGAAAATTGCAATTTCATTTGAAAGTTAACAGTAAACAAACCCCAGAGCACGTATTCACGAAAAGAAATCGGGATTTGCCTACAAAAATTTTTGAGCTAGAATAAAACTCTCATATACATCAACCTTGAAACGATTGACAAATACAATTATTCATTTATTTTGAAATGTATTTATGACGTTACTGTTTAGCGTAGCTGCAGTAGAAAAACTAGACACGGCCTCCAAGCCGATGAGCTAATATAGTACTATATTTTTTAAATTGTTTTGAAATTTAGCGCAAGAAGCCATTTTGCAGAAACGTTCATTGCATGCGTTGTCTTTCTTTCCTTCAAAAAAACTTACCATCCAATGTTTTTTTTTTTGTTTCCCGAATAACAACCACTCAAAAAAGATGAGTTAATTCAAAGAGTCATCACTGTTTATTCTCTCGCGCCCCGGTTTTAAACTTCAGGAAAGCGGTCATTGAAGATGCCTCTTAAGCCTTCCCACTAAGACACATGGGTTGAAATATTTTCACGAAGCAGGCTCTGAACTTGGTGCTCATGTAGTAGAAGATGAAGAGATTGACCGACGCGTTGACGAAGTCCAGCACGAAGATGACGTACACGATGACCCAGAAGATGTTGTTGTAATACTTGAGCACGTAGTACTCCGGCTCCAGCAGCATCGCGATGAAGTGGACGACCCGCGGCACCAGGTTCACGATGTAGACGCCGATGACCACCAGCAGCATCGTGATAACCTGCCTGTCCCGCGTGGTCACTTCGGACGGACCGCGGTCTTGGGTTCCCGGTTTCGACCCCGCGGAGGCCCCCTTTCTGAACCGTGACGCCCTTTGGAGTTTGTAGGAGATGACCACTGTGCTGAAGACCATGGCGGTCAGACTCAGGACGGGGTAGATGAACCCAAGGTACTTGTAGCCCTCCATAAATTTTTGACCATGGACGCTGTAGAAATGTGTGTACTGGTACACCGCTATGACGGTCTGATACTGAGCTGTGTAGACCCACCGGTACTCAAAGACCAGGAGTATCGGCAATAACGATACGAAAACAAGGATTGACAGCGTCACGCAAACGAACGAGGTCAGCTTTGGGGTCAACAGCGTTTTCACCTTTAAAGGGAAGCACACGCAGAAGCAGCGTTCGACGGCTACGTAGCCACCTATGACGTACGAGACGTTTCCGGAGATGACGTGGAGGTAGACCAGGTTGGTGACCGTGATGTTCTGCCAGGATTTCCCAAACGCGGGGAAGACCCAGGCCATCGGGCCGTACAACCGGTGGGCCAGCCCGCAGAGGACGCGGATCAGATCCCAGAAGGCGATCGTCGTCATGGTGATGTTGACGGTATCCTTGAAGCCCATCTTGGCGAAGGTCACGATGTCAAGGACGTTGGTCCAGACGCCGACGAAGGAGACTGTGAGACAAAGCCAGAGGTCGACGATCGTAGAAATCAGCGCGAACGCTTCATTGGAAATAACCACGTCACTTGGATTTAGGATACTCGAATCTGTAGGTACTCGACCCGATAATGTGATATCGATACCAAGGGTAACGTTCTCGATTACGAATATGCTCACTGCAGACATCTTCAATTTTCTCCTTTAAAATTTATACCCAGGGCTGTAAATGCAGTCGATTCTTACTACAGCGTGAGGAATCTATTTTATATAAGAAGTTCCTGATTTTGAATCAAGGTTGTGTGTGTTCAAAATATTTTTACCAAAGAGGTCTAAAAATAATTAAGAAAAATGTAACTTTGAAATTAAATCTTGTAAAATTGCTATTGTAAGTCATGAAGGAGAGGGAATATTTCGACAATTTAAATTACTTAGAATCCGCAAATAAATTAACTTTCTTAATTTTTGGCTTAAATGTAGACATAAATAACTTTCTCAATTTTTGGCTTAAATGTAGACATAAATTGAAATTTAAACAAAATTTTGACTAAATAAAAAAAACTGGATCTAAAAGTGATGCGAAAGTAAAGTCTTTCCAGTACGTGAGAATATATTTGTTGAGTCAATGCCTGCTGTGGCGACACTCACTGACTGCCCGACAATGAGAACAATAAATGTTTATGTCATTCTTTCTCTTTTTCTTTTTTTTTGTGAACCAACCAGACACAAGATATCATTAAAGATAAACATGTTAGTAAATGTCTTGATAATTCTTGCCACTATCATAAAGATATTATTATTTGATGGATTCCAACGACCGAAATCTAAGCTTGCCTTAATGGAAAATAATAAACTGAGGTTTCAAATATGTCACACTGCCGTACGCGCGACCGACTGCCGGTTGAACAGTTAAACCCCTGTGAAACATAATGGTGACGCTCACAGGCATGCACTAGCCGTGGCAATCACATTTCTTACTCTTTTTTTTTTTTGAAGAAGAACCGTTTCTTTCTGGTTTGATATAGCGCTAAGACATTTTTTGCCCTCTAGCTGTCACGCACTCACATTTGTAAAAAAAAAAATTTTTTTTTTTAAAGAACTATATTGACGTGTAAAATGTGAGGCGTTTTCAAATACGATGAAATAGAATAGTTGATTTTCAATTACCACGGGACTTACCTTTCCTATATCAATCAATATGTCTGGTTCAAAGTTCTTACCCGAGTTCAGTTTGAAAATATTTTTTTTTTTGAAAATATGGAAAATTGTTTAAACCGTTCTAGTTTTGAACCTGTAACCTCTTGATAAAATTGTTAAATTTTTTTTTTTTTTTTTTTTTTTTTTTTTTTTTTTTTTTTATTTTTTTTTTTTTTTTTTTTTTTTTTTTTTTTTTTTTTTTTGTTGCTTTTTAACCAATTTTGTCTTTTGTGTCTATCATTATGTTATTTAAATTTTTTTTAATTTGATTCTCCACATGAGCGCATAAAAATTCGTTGCGGTGAAAGACTTGAAACGTTAAAAATAAAAGTGACACTTATTGGTATAGAACCGTACTGCCGTGAAGGCTAAGTTCGCATCTTGGGCAAAGCTTTCTCTTCGTGGGTTATAGTTTAACCGATCACAGTAGAAACAGTTAACTATCAATACAGTTTGGGGGGAACTATTGTTAACATAATTGAGGAATGATATCTGCTACCAAGTACATTCGACTGCAATTTTAACAGAAAATATCAGAACTTCTTTCCACCGCTGTTGTTAAGTAATTCACAGTGAGTGTGGCGGAACAATTACTTAACACTGTCACAATCTATTCGTAATGAATCCAAGATGTGTTTTGTCTATCCTTCACACGACTGTAAGGGTCCTCATTTCCCATAATTTTCCCATAATATTTCGGTCTTAGATAGTTATAACGCAGCCAATTTATCCAAAGTTGGTTGGAGATTATCACCTTGACTAGACAAGAGCTAATCACTCTCTAAACACAGCTAATGGGTCACTGACATATCTTTTTGAGAGTATTTCAGTTCAAACAGAAAATCTTTACTGAGCTAAAACGACATGGATGATGTCATCAATTTAGTTTTATAATTGGCAGGTCTACTCATTTAATTGGACGATTTCCACTGAGATTTCACGTACGTCAAAACTAATTTTAAAAAACGTTTACTATTATTAAAGCTTTAATTTGGCATTAACAAGACTTGTTCTCATTTTTTTAAAAAATTAATTCGTTTTTGAAATACCGATTTTATCTTTGCTGACATGCTCATTAATACTAACTATAATAACAATCAGAGTAAACAATGTTAAAAAAACTTCTATGATAAGTATTAATTTTTTTTATTTTTTTTTAAAACGAATTAATATTGTCAATGGAAATGTTTCAGCAATTACATCTCTTGAAAAAGCGAAAATTTTGTAGAAATATAATTTTTCATAAAATAATAATATCATTCATTAAACATAATTTAACATAGAGTAAAATTTTTTAAAACGATTTTTCAAGTTTCTCGGAAAGTAACATTTTGAAACTAATATTTCATCTATAACTTTGGAGGTTGTGGATTATATTTTGAGAGTAGGTGAGTATGAGAAATGAATTGAGATTAGGTGAGTCAGACATAAGAAATGAATTGAGATTAGATGAGTCAGACATGAGAAATGAATTGAGTGTAAATTTGTTGCAGACATCATGAGTACAAATGATGTGTGTTACAATCACAACAGTACATTGCCTGCTTTTGATGCCTTACAAGTGGTAAGTGGGACACGCCAAACTTACAGCTGTATTACCTCGTGAGACATGTCAAACATGACTGTCTTATTAACTCATGGGAAACGTCGAAATTACTGCTGTATTACCTCTTGAGACATGTCAAACATGACTGTCTTATTAACTCATGGGAAACGTCGAACTTACTGCTGTATTACCTCGTGAGACACGTCGAACTTACTGCTGTATTACCTCATAAGACACGTCAAACTTACTGCTGTATTACCTCGTGAGACACGTCAAACTTACTGCTGTATTTGCTCATAAAACACGTCGAACTTACTGCTGCATTACCTCATAAGACACGTCGAACTTACTGCTGTATTACCTCATAAGACACGTCGAACTTACTGCTGTATTACCTCATAAGACACGCCAAACTTACTGCTGTATTACCTCGTGAGACACGTCAAACTTACTGCTGTATTTCCTCATAAGACACGTCGAACTTAGTGCTGTATTACCTCATAAGACACGTCGAACTTACTGCTGTATTACCTCATAAGACACGCCAAACTTACTGCTGTATTACCTCGTGAGACACGTCAAACTTACTGCTGTATTTCCTCATAAGACACGTCGAACTTACTGCTGTATTACCTCATAAGACACGCCAAACTTAGTGCTGTATTACCTCGTGAGACACGTCAAACTTACTGCTGTATTACCTCATAAGACACGTTAAACTTACTGCTGTATTACCTCATAAGACACGTTAAACTTACTGCTGTATTACCTCATAAGACACGTTGAACTTACTGCTGTATTACCTTGTGAGACACGTCAAACTTACTGCTGTATTTCCTCATAAGACACGTCAAACTTACTCCTGTATTACCTCGTGAGACACGTACAACTTAGTGCTGTATTACCTCATGAGACACGTCGAACTTACTGCTGTATTACCTCATGAGACACGTCAAACATGACTGTTTTATTTACACACGAGACACGCCAAACTTACTGCTTTATTGCCTCTTAAGAAAAGTCCAACATGAATGACTTATTAACTCTTGACACAAGTCAAACATGATTGTTTTATTTACTAATGCGACACGCCAAACTTACTGCTGTATTACCTCATAAGACATTTCAAACTTACTACTGTATTACCTCTTAAGGAAAGTCAAACATGACTGGCTTATTGACTCGTTCTGGATCTCTCGTCACCTCTAACTACTTATAAAAATTGTATCGGGGGAAACGGTCGAAGGGCTTACCATTTATTGAAGCCAAGCTGCAAAAGTATCATCAGTCGTAATTTGTCGGGGATACCTTCCAAAGTATCATCAGTTCTAATTTGTCTGGGATACCTTCCAAAGTATCATCAGTTCTAATTTGTCTGGGATACCTTCCAAAGTATCATCAGTTCTAATTTGTCTGGGATACCTTCCAAAGTATCATCAGTTCTAATTTGTCTGGGATACCTTCCAAAGTATCATCAGTTCTAATTTGTCTGGGATACCTTCCAAAGTATCATCAGTTCTAATTTGACTGTAACATTTTCCAAAGCTAGTATTGTCCACCGTGGAAACCACAACTCATAACATAAATGTACTGGATATCCTAGAGGACCGTGACACACGTCATCAATGATTATTAAAGGAAAAAGTGCGAAAAGGGAAAAAACAACTGTCTCTGAATGGTATGAAATGTCACCGGTCAGCAGCACTCGCTCTAATTATTGATTCAGGTATGCTTCAAATAGGTATGTTTCATTAACGTAGCTCTGAGTGAGTTGCATCTGAGATAGGTACCTTTGATTAAGGTGTGCTTGATTAATGTATGGCTTTCCAGGTATTTTTTTAAATAAGGTATGTTTGATCCAGGTATGTTTTATTTAGGTATGTTTTATTCAAGTATTTTTATGCAGCTCTATTTGATCCAGGTAGATTTGATCCAGGTAGATTTGATTCAGGTATGTATAATTCAGTTATTTTCGAAATAGGTACGTTTGATTAAAGTGTATTTAATTCAAGAAAGTTTTATTTAGATATATTTATATATCATACTGGTATGTTAGTTTTATGTTTCATTCGCTCATATTGATAGGTATGTATGATTTAGGTATACTTCACCAAGGTATAATGGACCCATGTCAGTTTTCATTTGTATAATTTTGAATCACGCAGAAAATGTATTTCATTAAATCTCGGATTTGTTTTTTTTTTCTTTTCTTTTCAATTAAGTTATTTTGTTTTTCGTTGTCCAATGTTTTTTCCTAAGACTTTTGCAATAATGGCTCTGAATCGATCAATACTTTATCAATGACACATATATTTTTCAAAAAATCAAAAAGTCAAAATTTAATGAATAGGTCACTGTATTTATTGTTGGAGCTGGATGGAGTTGTTCTCTTTTTCTTTTGTTGTTGTTGTTTTTTTTGTTATTCACTTGATTTTTTTTTTCTAAAATCTTCTATTAACTTCACTTTTGTTCATGTGCTTCTTATGGGTTTGTGCCAAAAAATCTTTGGACGGCTAATCGACCCACTTCACGTCAAACTACCGAGCTGAGACGTGGCACATAGACTCTTTGCCGATGACAACACATTCTTTCAAATTTTCACGGAAACCTGTTTTGAAATATCGCTTGACAAAACTCTCTTCCCTCTCAGTGCCAACAAAGGGTCGAGTCGTCGGCCCTTTTGAGACCTGCCGACGAAAGTCTAAATAAAAATATGACCGTTACCGTGCTTTGGTCGGCATACACATTTTAATATTCCTTTTCGGGAATAAGCCACAAAAAAAAATTGAATATCGCTTCTAACAAACAACTCGACTATTTTAGAAGTAAAAGTTAAATAAATACACATCGTAAAAAAAAAAAACCCTTCTCTCTTCTCCTTTCAATGGGATACCTTCCAAAGGACTTTCAGGACTTAGCAATATGCATCACATTGTTTGATTTTTTTTTCAACATATCCTTATTTTTTATACATTTTCATAAACTAAAACATCTCCTTAAACGTTGTGGAACATTATGGCCGTACACTAACTGAAGCTTGAATTTTGTTTTTCCCCATGATGTCTGCTCTGAAGAAAGTCTGCTTGAATGTCTTCCTGAAGCTGGTCCCCATTACAAAGAACACGAAGAAATGACTGGCGGCATTGACGATGTCCAGAAAGACGACCATGTACACAATGACCCAGAAGATGTTGTGGTAGTACCTTAGATAGTAGTACTCGCTCACCAGCAGCGTGGCCATGAAATGGGCGAAGCGTGGGGCCAGGCAGAAGATGTAGATCAAGATGACCACAAAGAGCATCTTCACAGTCTTCTTGTCTCTAGTCGTCATTTCCGGTTGACTTTTAGTTTTGCCAAGTGCGTGAATGATAGAAGCGCTCCTGTTTCTGAATCTCGACGCCTTGTAGAGGCTACTCGCTATGATGACGGTTGATGTCACCATGGCAACGAAGCTCAAGGAAGGATACAGAAAATTGCATGTTTTATAACTCCTCAAGAAATCCCCGCCATGTTGGAAGTAGAAGGGCGAGTACTGGTATATGGCGATGGTCGCGTTGTACTCTTCACTGAAGATCCACACAAACTCAAAGATCATCATCATTGGCATAAGGGACACAAAGACTGTGATTGAAATCCCCATGAGAATAATGACCGTGAACTTTGGCGTCAGAATTGTTTTGACCTTGAAAGGTATGCTAACGCAAAGGCATCTTTCGATGGCGACGTATCCGGCAATGACGTAAGCGACGTTGCTGGAAATGAACTGAAGGAAGGTCATGGACGGAAACGTAACGCTCTCCCAGGATTTGCCGAGTGCGGGACTGACCAGCCCCATGGGGCCATAACACTTGATGATCAACACACAGGACAGTTTGAGCAGGTCCCAGAGGGCTATGCCCGTCATGGTGATGCTGGTGGTGTCCTTGTAGCCGAGCTGGTAGAAGACGACGATGTCAATCACTGTGTTGACCAGCGCCAGGACGGCGATGATGTAGGCGATCCATGTGTCCACTACTGTGGTCAGCACAGCGAGGTCGTGGCTAGAGATGAGAAACTCGACGGCCCGAAATATATGTGGCGGGATCTTTACAAATTCAGTTATAGTGTTGGTTGCAGAGAGTGTAGCGTTAACACTGGTTATGACTTGAGTCTGCTTCATGTTTGTGGTTACTAGATCTTAACGAGATTCGATCTTCTCGTGTCAGCGAGATGTTGTCATTGGTAAGACGGCTTTGTCTGCAAGATTTTTTTTATTGTTAAGAATGGTCATTAAAGAAACTAGACCTCTCGTACGGCGGGATTTCGAGGAGATTTGATTCCTTTTTCATCAAATTTTTATTCATTTAATTTGCTAAGTTTCGCTGAGATTGTATTTTCGTTAAAGATGGCGGATAAGTGATGTTTTTGTCTCTCAGAGCCGGTTTAATTAAATCGTTGCTGGGGTAAACTTAAAAGAACAGTTTCAAACATTGCTTTTAATGCTTTTAATGATGACCCAAATTTAGTTGTATTGTTTATAGATAACTTGATTAAATGCTATAAGATGTCTTAATTTTAACATCGTCGGTTAGCAAATCTTGAAGTATTGAAAACTAAATGATATTCACTTGATTCGGTCAATCTATCCTCTTGTGTATGTTTCACATCAACATTGATTCGGTCAATCTATCCTCTTGTGTATGTTTCACATCAACATTGATTCGGTCAATCTATCCTCTTGTGTATGTTTCACATCAACATTAATTCTGTCAATCTATCCTCTTGTGTATGTTTCACATCAACATTGATTCGGTCAATCTATCCTCTTGTGTATGTTTCACATCAACATTGATTCGGTCAATCTATCCTCTTGTGTATGTTTCACATCAACATTGATTCGGTCAATCTATCCTCTTGTGTATGTTTCACATCAACATTGATTCGGTCAATCTATCCTCTTGTGTATGTTTCACATCAACATTGATTCGGTCAATCTATCCTCTTGTGTATGTTTCACATCAACATTGATTCGGTCAATCTATCCTCTTGTGTATGTTTCACATCAACATTGATCCGGTCAATCTATCCTCTTGTGTATGTTTCACATTAACATCGATTCGCTCAATCTATCCTGTTGGCTACGTCTCACATCAATATTGACTCTGCCAATCTATCCTCTTGTATCTTTTGCCCCTCCACATATCCAATGAAAGCAATCAAATCGAATGGTGTCCCATGTGACCTCTATACAAGTCTTGGTGCTTTGGTAATCTTACGTTTATTGCCAGTGAAACTAAGAAAACGACGTCACATATAGACGTGCAAGAAAATGACGTCACATATAGACGTGCAAGAAAATGACGTCACATATAGACGTGCAGGAAAATGACGTCACATATAGACGTGCTAGAAAAAATACACGCACTCTACTTTAAGTCGTAATTATATCAACACGGTATTGTTCCAACGTGCTGACTGTACAAAAATGTGTTAAGGTGTTAATGGTTGTCGACCTTAAACCACTGTGACTTTTAAAGAGGATGTTCACATTTTTGTTTTTATTTCAATCACCCACGATTATGGATTGACGTGAAATGCATTTGAAAAGGAAAAAGAGACAACTTATCAACAGATTGATAAAAGCACACATACTCTTGGCATTAAATGGGCGCGTCAAGGAGGACGTAAAGTCAACAACACATCGCAGTCAAATTGTCGAGATTTTAGACGGTATAATGATATTCTGTGTTTGTCAGGAATTAATTGATTTCCCGTAACAGATCAAGGAAGAAATTTCTGTCAACCGAAAAGTAAACACAATTGTAGACGAGGGCCTCCGGGATACGGTTCGTCGCTCGGCTACAACAACATCTTAGGCTTTCATGTCATGGAGACTGTATGGGAAGATAGCCAGTAGGTAAACACAGAGGAAGTGGCTATCGACCAATGGGGAGGCAGAATAAAAGAAAAAAAAATGGCGTAAGTTCGGCAAATTTAAATTTATCCCCACAAAATAAATAAAATGTTCGTTTCGTAAATAACGCTTTGTTAAAATAATTAACGATCTACCATGACACTTAGCGCCTCCTTGCCGTGTCGTTATTTAACAAGCAAACATCATTTGTTTAAAACAATGTCAAATAATGTAACATAAAAAATGTATTTCGCGATACTTTGATTACTATTTTTTTTTAATAAATTAGCAAAGAAAAAAGGCAGTTTCAAATTTTAAAAAATAGCTATAATTTTTGGTTAGAAGACAGTGCGCCCCCCCCCCTTTCCCGCCCCCACACAAAAAAAAGGAAGAAATAGCGAAGGTTAAAGAAAAGCTTCACATTTGGGAAAGCATCTAGACCGGCTAAGAGCTGATATACATACAGTATGGTCAACATGCTTCACCCTCTATTTGAGAGAGAGGAAGAGAGAGAGGTCCAAAAGATTGCAAAGAAGGAAACCTCGTCAAGATACCAAAGAAAGACAATCTTAGCTATTGTTCAAACCACAGGGGAAGTACATTGCTTTCAGTGCCAGGAAAAGTCTTCAAAAGCGTTATTTTGAAAAGAATGAAGGACCTGATCGACACGCCACTTCGAGTTGAACAGATCATCCACAGAACAAATTCAAACAATGCGAAAAATGGTAGAACAGTCTATCGATTAGCCTGGTTCGACAAACCTTGTGGAAACTGCTCCAGCATTATTTGTTAGGACCAGAAAAACTGGTCAGTAACATTCGGAGTTCTTATGAAGAAATGACAAGCAGGGTGGTACACGAAGGTAGACTCACCAATGACAAGCAGGATGGTACACGAAGGTAGACTCACCAATGAAGAGCAGGATGGTACACGAAGGTAGACTCACCAATGAAGAGCAGGATGGTACACGAAGGTAGGCTCACCAATGAAGAGCAGGATGGTACACGAAGGTAGACTCACCAATGAAGAGCAGGATGGTACACGAAGGTAGGCTCACCAATGCCTTTAAAGTGGAAATAGGAATCAGGCAAGGATGTCTACTGTCCCCGCTTCCTTTTCATCTTTGCCATTGACTGGATAATGAAAGAATCCACAGAAAAAAAAAGACGAACAGGATACATTGGATACCTTGATGACCTAAACCTTGCAGACGACATCGCACTTCTGCCTCACAACCAACAAGAAATGTATCAAAATGCAAAGATGTAGCCACTATTACAGCACAGCTCAGACTCAACGTAGCCACTATATAGCATTTATTCAAAAGGAACCCGAAACGCATCGCTGCTATTCGGACCCGGGTCCCATTAGACTAATATTTATTCGGATGTCATTTGCGGTAGTTTATTTTAGTTTAAACTGACGAATTAGATTTACAAACATATAGTCCATTCAATTATCTTTCATTTGATACCAAATTTTATTTTACAAACCCAACAATAATATTTTTAATATTTTTTTTTTAATAAACCCAACCTCTCACTTCTGGTACCCGGGTACGAATAGCTGCAACCTTAAAATATAGTTTCTTTTTTTTTTCTTCTTTTCTTGCACCGTCCTTCAAAATATGACGATGGTGCAGAGTGTAGACTCCTCGGGACGTAATCACAAGGGTTTGGGATTGTTCTTTTAGGGGGATGAGCTGCTTCCCTGGACAGCAAAGCGCCCTTCTCCGCGCACCTGGATAACCCAAAGGGAGCACCATCTGTGGATGATGCAGCTTGGCACCAGTGGCGTCGCGCAGGAGTCGCCTTGATATTCATCGCGTCGACACACCATGTTAACAATAAACAGCCTTAACTGTCAGAGCTGGACGGTGTGCCTAGTTTTCTTCTTCTTCTTCTATATCTTAAGGGCCCACGATCAATTTATTGATCATTTTGGCTCCTATGCATGTAGATGGGATTTGCAATGTTTCTGTTCCTGGTGTTGATGAGGAAATTTCACAGATTTCCAGTGCCACTTTGTGAGGGAATCATGCACTGGGGGTTTGAAGGCTTGAGGCAATAGACACAAATGTGTCTAGTGTTGTCGCCTCAACCGTTCCTTTTGAAAGATTGTTCCAGTCCCTGATTGTCTTGGGCAGGAATGAGCAGCTCCTATACTGGCTTCTTGCTGGTATGAGCCTGAATTGCCTGTCATGGCCTCGTCGCTGTCTATGGGGGAGAGGTACGAGTTTCTGTTTAATACTGGAACAGTGGACCAGCCCATTATTTATCTTGTACATCATGGAGAGCCTGGATTGTCGTCGTCGTTTCTCCAATGGTGACCAGCCTAGTGTTTCTAGCATGCTGCCAACACTTGAGGTATTCCTGTAGCGGTTTAGGACAAAGCGTGCTGCTCGTCGCTGGACCGCCTCCAACCTGTCAATGCTCTTCTGGGTAAATGGGTCCCAGACTGAAGATGCATAATCTAAAATCTAAAACGCTTTAATCAAGGAATTGATGTTTGTTTGTTTTGGTTTTTTTTTTGTCTGTTTTTTTTATTAACTTCATACTTAGGATATTGAGAAACGAATTATTGACTGTGATAAAAGAAGGGAGAGACTACAATCAAGGTTAGTTAGAAGGCAGGAAGTAAACCAAGGAACGGTAAAACCCAGCGGAAAAAAAGGACGTAATCAAATCAACGGAAGTGTCGGCAAGAACCCAAATGTTTGCCTAATGGTTGGCAAGAATTTTTTTTTTTAAAAAGCTCTGGTGTATTTTTATAGATATTCTTTGCTTTGTTTTAATTTAAATGATAAAGATTTTAAAAAATCGTAGTAATATTGCCACAAAAAAAACCACTTTATCAGCGTTTCTCATACTGTGGGTCGCGACTCTTTTGGTGGTCAAACGACCCTTACACAGGGCTCGACTAAGACCATCGCAAAAACATATAACTATGAAGTAGCAACGAACATAATTTTAAGGTCAGGGATCACCACGACATGAGGAACTGTATTCAAGGGTCGCAACATTGGGAAGGTTGAGAATCACTGCTCTAATGATATTAAAATTGTCTCGTTAGTTTTATTTCTTTTCCTTTTTTAACCACATTTCATTAATTTAAAATTTTCTTTAAAAAAAAACAACGGAAATCATGATTGCCAACGTGTGGTCTAACAGCTAAGAATATTATCATTCAATAAGATTGTTTTTTAAATGTGTGCAAAGCGTGATAAGATTATCTATATTTATTTTACTTTCATCAAAAATAATAATAATAATAATAAAAAATAAAACAGGAAGAGGAACGAGCCAGAGTTCCATCTTTTAGATTGTTCCGTTACTGCCTCATTGTTCTTTCTATTTCTAGAGTTGTATCGTGATTGCAGTTATCCATCTGCGTTGCTGCGTCCATGGATGTACTTCCTTAAAACTCACAGTGGGTGTGGCTTGCTTCATTCGGGGCGTCTCCTCCCCATTTTCTGAGTAGTGGGGGTGAGGAATACATATGTTAGGATCCTCTCAAACAGATGGAACACAAAACTGTAAAGTCTTCAATTCAACACATTGGATGGCTAATGAAGAATCAAGAATGTTATGAATGATCCCAGACAATAAGTTGTTTTGATAATGATAACTGATTCTCTATGTAAGAGCCTTGCCACCAAAAGAAATTTGGATTATAAATTGGGAATTGTTCTTAACAACCTAGGAGCAAGATGGAGAGAGACAGAGAGAGACAGAGAGAGAGCAAGAGAGACAGAGAGGGCGTGGTAAAAGAGAAAGAGATATATGGAAAGTGAAGAGAGAGAGAGAGAGAGAGAGAGAGAGAGAGAGAGAAGCGGATAGGGAGAGAGAGAGAGAGGAGAGCGAATAGAGAGAGAAATATTACGCTTCTTTGATAATTTAGAACAATACAATTTTCCTTGAACGCTATTGCATTTATTTGTGTTTTTAAAAAAAAACTACACACCACGTTACTCACTTGCACAGAGCCCGGTATTCTGTCTTCCTCCTGGTATCCAGGTCAACTGCCCTTCCTTTGTAATGCAGCGACGTACACATGTGGCAGCCGCCCGCTATCTCATTCACCTGCAAACAGAACATGCGACGCCACCGTCGTCAGTCTCCGTAGAGACCCCCCCGACTTGATCCGCCCAAGACAGACTCTTTCATCGCAGCATACATAGTAGGTCGTGTCCATTCGGTCTAATAATGCCATAAATATCTCACATGTCGACCTAGCTTACACGGGGTTAGATCTGCAGCCTCAATAGCCAACCATCTGTAAATTTACAGTCAGCCCGCATATCAAATTACATGTCCGTAATAAACCGAAAGAGCTTACGGATGCCCGTAATAAGCCGAAAGAACTTATGGATGTCCGTAATAAACCGAAAGAACTTATAGATGTTCGTAATAAACCGAGAGAACTTATGGATGTCCGTAATAAACCGAGAGAACTTATGGATGTCCGTAATAAGCCGAAAGAACTTATGGATGTCCGAAATAAACCGAAAGAACTTATGGATGTCCGTAATAAACCGAGAGAACTTATGGATGTCCGTAATAAACCGAGAGAACTTATAGATGCCCGTAATAAACCGAGAGAACTTATGGATGTCCGTAATAAACCGAGAGAACTTATGGATGTCCGTAATAAGCCGAAAGAACTTATGGATGTCCGTAATAAACCGAGAGAACTTATGGATGTCCGTAATAAGCCGAAAGAACTTATGGATGTCCGTAATAAACCGAAAGAACTTATGGATGTCCGTAAAAACTACATGACATTGCACTGGCGGCCCACGAAACAAACAAAAACAAAACAAAAAATGGAATTTTGCTCAGTGTTTGTGAATTTAATTATATATATACATTTTTAAAAAAATAAATGTATGTGTGTTTGTGTGTGTGTGCGTCTGTGTGTGTGTTTGGTTGTTTTAAACTTGTATGATGATCAGAAGAAGAAAATATAATATAATATAATTTAAAATAAGAAAAGAAAACATAAGATAAGATAATAAGATAAGATTCTATGATTAATTCAAATAAATGGCAATGCCTTTATATGACTACAATCTACAAAGTCATTTTCAGCACACAGATACATATTTGGTTTGTTTTTGTTGTTTTGTTTTGTTTTTTTTTGCTACGGAGACACCCATTCTTAAACCAGAATAATTTAAACACATGACCACGTCAGTGTTTCTCTAGCGCAAAAGAAAAAATCAACCGGTACATGTCATGGAACATCAGTCAAGTAGTGACAATGTGAGCAAGATTTTCATACGATCACCTAACGCTGAGAAAACGAATTTTAGCCTCATATGTCATCTATTGATTTACTTGTATGAGACATAATATACCGGTATGCTAAGATATTGTAATTGTTTTTAGCAGAAGAGTGTGCTGTTGTTGTTGTTTTTACAAATTTTTAATTTCCTTGAAATGTGTTCAAAAAAAAAAATTCTTATGATTTTTGTTGTCTCTTGATTAAAAGAATATTGATTATTGATTTTAAAAAAACATTGACTCACAGTAACAGATCCATTCTTGGCCAGTTCGGCCAGGTAGTCCAGCACTTTTGCAGATATGCACACGGATGTCTCTGGGATCAGTTTACCCTTGCAATCTTTGCAGTAGCTGGAGGATATCGGATTATGGAAGTCTAAACCAGAGGGCAGTATGAGGCCAGGGATAACTTAAATGTATGAATATGTGTAACTTGAAAATGACTGCATGCTCAGAAACTAGCCATCCCAAGAAGGACCGATGCCCTAAATGAAATCTCGCCAGATAGGACCAAACCCCCCGAGCGACCTCTCGCCCAAAATGACCAATGCCCTGAAGAAACTCGTACAAAAAAATGACCAATGCGCATAATGACCTTAATGACCTCTCGCCAAAAAAGGACAATGCTAAAATAAGACCAAATTATAATGTCATATTTTAATAATTGCTAGTCTCACCTAATGCTCCTCGCTCTCTCTCTCTCTCTCTCTCTTTCTCTTCCTCTCTCTCTCTCTCTCTCTCTATCCCTCTCTCTTCTCAAAATTTTCGCTCTAGATACTTCCACCAGCCTCCCTATAGCTAAAACACACACCCATAGCTACTCCAGTTCAATTAGCTTAATGTAGCCCCCCTGTGATAGCCATTTCAAAGCCACTACTTTTATCCAAGTTTAAAGGTCACAGCTAGTTTCTACTTCCCCACTACAAGTGAGGTGGTGGAACAAAAAATTTTAATCAAACATTTCTAAAATATATCTTTCTTACAAAAATAACTGGTTTGCCTTACAAACCGACTACCTTTTTTTTTTTCATTTTAAACTTTGACCCTATTCAATTCAAAACTTACTTTGAAGTGTACGCACCATTACCGTTGCACATGTCTTGAATATTTTTCGCTGCGAAACCTTTGTCTTTTTCCCCAGACACGTGCGCGCTGGCAAAGCGAAGATTCGCATTGTTTTTAAGTGCGCATGCTGTGGAGATAGCGGACTGGGCGCACTGGATCGCACAGGACGGTGTGATCACCAGCGTTGCAAAGTATAGAACCAACAGGCCGCGTAACTGCATTGTAAGCTGGTGGTGTTCCGGGATGGGAAGATGTGTTGGAGTATGGCAAGACGATTCCTGCACTGCACTTTGGAGCGAATTCTGAAAATCCAGGGTTAGGAGAATGTGGTTTTTATACGCTTGGACAGTTGAGTTGATCGATTCGGAGTGATTAGCTCATCCCCCTAGGTGCGGACTTTGATTACGTCGCCATATGGCGTGGTATACATATGACACAACAACAGACAAGGTGGGTTGGTGATCCGTGTTTACCTTGTGTTTCATTTGGGGGAAATGTTATGTTAGGGTCGTACGGGGAGTTGGTTAAGGGTTAAGGTTAGTGAGACTGCGTTTGGCGGAGGGTGGAGTTTTAGTGAGACCTTGGGCTGAGATTAGAGTCTCAGCGGCACAACGTTTGGCTGATGGTGAAGTTTTGGTGAGACCTTGGGCTGAGAATAGAGTCTCAGTGGCACAACGTTTGGCTGATGGTGAAGTTTTGGTGAGACCTTGGGCTGAGAATAGAGTCTCAGTGGCACAACGTTTGGCTGATGGTGAAACTTTAGTGAGTCTTTGTTTGGCTTGACTTAGTCTCAATTCACCTACAATACATGTTTAACTGTGTGTTTGCTCGACTTAGTCTCACTTCCTCTACAATACATGTTTAGCTGTGTGTTAGCTTGACTTGGCCTCACTTCCTCTACAATACATGTTTCCCTGTGTGTTAACTTGACATAGTCTAACTTCCTCTACAATACATGTTTAACTGTGTGTTAACTTGACTTAGTCCCGCTTCCTCTACAATACATGTTTAACTGCGTGTTAGCTTGACATAGTCTCACTTCCTCTACAATACATGTTTAGCTGTGTGTTAGCTTGACATAGTCTCACTTCCTCTACAATACATGTTTAGCTGTGTGTTAGCTTGACATAGTCTCACTTCCTCTACAATACATGTTTAACTGTGTGTAATTTAACTTAGTCTCACTTCCCCTACAATACATGTTTCACTGTGTGTTAGCTTGACATAGTCTCACTTCCTCTACAATACATGTTTCACTGTGTGTTAGCTTGACTTAGTCTCACTTCCTCTACAATACATGTTTCACTGTGTGTTAGCTTGACTTAGTCTCACTTCCTCTACAATACATGTTTCACTAATAGTTGGTGTTTCAATCTTAACTTTTTCTTTTTCGTGTACCCCCCCCCCTCTAATGTCACCTCTCAAACCCCTGGGGCGCATGCAATCGGACCAGCTTAGTATTCGTATAGCAAATATCAGAGCAGAGAAATTATATGTATGTATGTATGTATGTATGTATGTATGTATGTATGCATGTATGTATGTATGTATGTATGTATGTATGTATGTATGTATGTATATATGTATGTATGTATGTATGTATGTATATATGTATGTATGTATGTAGGTATGTATGTATGTATGTATGTATGTATGTATATATGTATGTATGCATGTAGGTATGTATGTATGTATGTATGTAGGTATGTATGTGCACGCTCCATAGTTCCACCCTCCCCCCCCACCTTACACCACGCTGTCCGTATGTTACCATAGCAAATTTGTTCGCCGTTGCATGAAACTCTGTGCAGCCACAGCCGAGACGTGGATCAAAAATATTGCTCGCTGTGACTCTAATGAGAACGTGTCCCCATGACGCGGCGTCTGCTGTGACGAGGGCGCCCTAACCGAGCGTGAAGTCTAATTTCAGCAAAACGCTGACGAATGTGGTAACACCTGGTGTCCTCTAATCAGCTGCGAGGCTGGCCCTGTTTCACGACTTTGTTCATAGCTCGTGTCATCATTGCCAAAGATTGTGTTCATGCATTGGATTGGGAAACGTATTTCGTGGCCTACATTTGAACAATCGTATTACCTGTATTATTCTATAGTCCTTTTTGTTCATCTTGCAGGCGGAAGAATGCTGAATAATCTGCGATTCTGAGCAGCAAGCTCTGGCCCATTGAGAAAGAGTTATTTTTGTGTTGTCATCTGCTCCTGACCAGCAAGCCCTGGCCCACTGATAAAGAAATCTCAGTGTTGTCATCTGCTCCTGACCAGCAAGCTCAGGCCCACTAAGAAAGACTCATGTCAGTGTTGTCATCTGCTCCTGACCAGCAAGCTCTGGCCCATTGAGAAAGACTCATGTCAGTGTTGTCATCTGACTGCATCGTCAAGCATAAGAAATATGACATTGGTAACCGACTACTGTGAAAGTCATTTGATGGAATCTAACGGGGAGCTTGCGGAGTAATTTGGACAATCGTGTTAGCGGAAATCTACAGTACGTCCTTAGAAGATGCAGCCCTAACGGCTGGTGCACTACAATAATGAAAATGGTCTTCACACCAGACTGACTGCGCAGGTTTGATTGCACACCAGACTGACTGCACAGGATTGATTGCACAACAGACGGACTGCACAGGATTGATTGCACAACAGACTGACTGCACAGGATTGATTGCACAACAGACTGACTGCACAGGTTTGAGTGCACACCAGACTGACTGCACAGGTTTGAGTGCACACCAGACTGACTGCACAGGTTTGAGTGCACACAAGACTGACTGCACAGGTTTGATCGCACACCAGACTGACTGCACAGGTTTGAGTGCACACCAGACTGACTGCACAGGTTTGATCGCACACCAGACTGACTGCACAGGTTTGATCGCACACCAGACTGACTGTCCCGGTTCGATTGCTAAAACTGTGACGATTGGATATGGGATTGCTACTACTGGATGTCGTTCTGTGACTTCATGATATGCGACTCCTCGATATTATTTCTCTATCCAATAATGACAGCAGGCGTAGTCTACACACGATACTCGCCGTTTCAGGTTTTTGTTTGCGTCCCGAATGACAAACAAACACGACGTAGATCATTGTCCAACCGTGTTCTATTTACACAGAGTCAGCTGAAGGGTTCTGTGCTGCGCCGGTCGCAAATGGTCACATGATCCCTGATAAACCTGATTGGCCCGTCACGTTTGATTGCACACCAGAGAAGGAGAAGGAGCGCAAACTGAACGGGAATTTCCACCCCAAAATAAAATTCAAACAAAAACTTGACTTGCTTTCTCCTCATTGTGGAAAAAACGAAAAGATAAAAAATAATGAGATACGTTCTTACAGCAGGACTTTTGTGTCGTCTGGCTGATAACGGCAAATAATTAAATACCACTTGTTAAATTGATCACCGCTCAGTACCAAAAAAAAAAAAAAAATGTTTTAAATGTATTGAATTCAGTATGGCTAGACGCAGTTGGTTCGTTTCAGTTTGAAGTCACATTTACTGTATACTAAGCATGGATTCCCGTGTCCCGGAACCGGTCAAAAAGATGTATGATTTAGCAGATCGGAAGCAACCAACGGCAGCTACCAGTGCTTCGAGCCATCATGAGCCAAGGAGCCAAAGACTCAGTGACCCGGACAGCGAAGCGAGCACCGTCTCAAACAGCTTGTTCAAATCGGAAGAGAAGAAGAAGCCGGGTGACATCGCAAAGGGCCGCGTCTTAACCAGCTTGATCAATTCGGAAGAGAAGAAGAAGCCGGGTGACATCGCCAAGGGCAGCGTCTTGACTAGTTTATTCAATTCGAACGCGAAGAAGAAGAAGCCGGAGGACACCGAAAAGAGCGGGGACAGCCAGTCCTTGGTGGAGCGCCTGCGCAGCATGGGGAGCAACCAGATCAGACAGGAGACGGAGGAGCTGGAGCCCTCCGACAAAAAGAGGAGACGATCCCAACGGCAGGACGAGGCCGTGAACAGAGCCTTCGGCGTCTCGGTCGAGCCGGACGAGCTGATGAAGCCGACCAGCTGCCTGGTGTGTGTCATCGTCATCTGCGCATGCGTGGCGCTCATCGTCATCACGATCTACATGTTCTTCCAGCCAAAGAAACAATGAATGTGGGTGTGTGTGTGTGTGTGTGTGTGTGTGTGTGTGGTTGTGTGTGTGTGTGTGTGTGTGTGTGTGTGTGTGTGTGTGTGTGTGTGTGTGTGTGTGTGTGTGTGTGTGTGTGTGTGTGTGTGTGTGTGTGTGTGTGTGTGTGTGTGTGTGTGTGTGTGTGTGTGTGTGTGTGTGTGTGTGTGTGTGTGTGTGTGTGTGTGTGTGTGTGTGTGTGTGTGTGTGTGTGTGTGTGTGTGTGTGTGTGTGTGTGTGTGTGTGTGTGTGTGTGTGTGTGTGTGTGTGTGTGTGTGTGTGTGTGTGTGTGTGTGTGTGTGTGTGTGTNCCTGTGCACATTGCTGTAAATGGGTGCTCCGGGATGAAATGTGTTGAGACAAAGCATGAGCCCCCCCCTCCCCCCCGCCCCCCCCCCTGGATGAGAAGAAAAAGGTTTTCGTGATGTCTGATAGGAACCGCTTTGAGAAACCTACTTGAAGAACAGGCAAAGATTTTTCAGTTCAAGATTGTGGCGTAGAGTTCAAAGGTCATAAGTCAGAGACGAAAACTTGGTGAAGGGGAAATTCAAAATGTCCCTGGAAAAAAAATGTTCACTTTGACATGAATAATTTTGAAAAAGCTTTCATTACCCGTAAAAGAAAAGAAAATTACTTAGGCGATTTGATATGATCGATATGTATTAAGGATAGAGCTAGTTTCACGAGCTGTACTCTTCATGACTGACTACAGCAGTCAGAAATCGGGAATTCCCTGATTTGGTGCATCTCTGGATAATAAGAGGAAACCGCTTTGTGGGGTTTTCCCTGTGTCAAAGTGTGAACTGAGATGCCAACCTTGACCCTCGGTATGCGTGTTTGTGTTCGTTGAATGAGTGGGCCATCACATTCTCAGTGTTACTTGTGGTTCCTTGTTCTTTCATCTCAATTAAATGTACTTTTTAAATTCAAGTAAACAGCAATTTTATTTCAAACTGTTCAAGAGCAAAGTTTTGTTGTTTTTTTTTTGTGTGCCTGTTGCTATTTATTATTTTTGCTGCTACTTAATAAACATGTGTTTCCCTATGAGTCTTAGGTGATCCCTGTGTAAGGGTGGTTCGACGGACCACCCCCCCCCCCCACCCCCAAGGGGTCGGGCCCAACAGGTTGAGAAACGCTGATCCAGGGCATATAGAATGACCATTTCTAGTGCTAGGAAAATATGTTTATCTCGGGCGTATAGAATGGTGATTGCTGGTACAATGTGTTTAGCTGCACCAAGTTGACGATAATTATATCGGGGATACTTTTATGATATAAAACAAGGTACTATGCCCGTCTTTGGCCGGCTTTTTATTCGGAAACAAAATCCCATGCGGCGTTACAAGCGAACACTTGATCAACGCCACTGTGCTACAGTAACTAAATACATTTCAAGTGTGTCTTATAAAAGTTCAGATTTATTATCATACTTGTATACGATGAATTCAGTTAATATTTCTGAATCCGGAGTGAGTGCGTGTCATTGTACTGAGTGCCTGCCATTGTACTGAGTGCGTGTGATTGTACTGAGTGCCTGCCATTGTACTGAGTGCGTGCCATTGTACTGAGTGCGTGTGATTGTACTGAGTGCCTGCCATTGTACTGAGTGCGTGCCATTGTACTGAGTGCCTGCCATTGTACTGAGTGCGTGTGATTGTACTGAGTGCCTGCCACGGTACTGAGTGCCTTCCATTGTGATGAGTGATGTGATTGTACTGAGTGCCTGCCATTGTACTGAGTGCGTGCCATTGTACTGAGTGCGTGTGATTGTACTGAGTGCCTGCCATTGTACTGAGTGCGTGCCATTGTACTGAGTGCATGCCATTGTACTGAGTGCGTGTGATTGTACTGAGTGCCTGCCACTGTACTGAGTGCCTTCCATTGTAATGAGTGCCTGCCATTTCACTGAGTGCCTGTGTTTGTACTAAGTGCCTTCCATTGTACTGAGTGCCGGCCATTGTACTGAGTGCCTGCCATTGTACTGAGTGCCTGCCATTTACTGCACCGAGTGCTTGTCATTGTACTGAGTGCATGCCACTGTACTGGGTGCCTTCCATTGTACTGAGTGCCTGTCATTGTACTGAGTGCCTGCCATTGTACTGAGTGCCTGCCATTTACTGCACCGAGTGCTTGTCATTGTACTGAGAGCCTGTGTTTGTACTAAGTCCGTTCATTGTACTGAGTGCCTGCTATTTACTACCCCGAGTGTTTGCAATTGTACTGAGTGCCTGCCACTGTACTGGGTGCCTTCCATTGTACTGAGTGCCTGCCATTGTACAGAGTGCCCGCCATTTACTGCACCGAGTGCTTGTCATTGTACTGAGTGCCTACCATTGTACTGAGTGCCTGCCATTGTACCGAGTGCCTGCCCCTGTACGCTGGCAATGCAGGTTTGTTGACAGGCATTCTAACCAGGTGACCAAACCCATTATTTTGCTGTTGACCATTATGAGGGCTGACAGATCGTGATCGCGACAACCATTTGTCCATTTTCCTGGTTCGAAATGTGGTCCCTAGTTCTTTTACCAGCAGTTGGCTTTAAAGGAATATCCTTATATAGGATGTGATTATTTTTCTCTCGTGACTTTTATTCAGAGCTAAGGTTTGACACTGTAACTGTAACATTATTATTATTATCATTTGACATCGTGTGATTGTCGGATGTCAGTAATATAAACTTTAGACATACACTTAGTTTAAGTATATAAGAAGCTTACAATAAATGTACAGCGTGTAGATAATTTAATATTTTTTTTTAAAGAGTAATCAAATATTGACTGAAATGGTTCCGTGTGTAACAGGTGATGGTTTTAGGCCATTTCTATCTTCAAAAAATACACCAACATATACTTGGAGATGGGGGTGAGAGATTGGAGTCATCGGGGTGGAGATGGGGTGAGAGATTGGGCACATGGTGGTGGAGATGGGGTAAGAGACTGGGGACATGGTTGCATAGATGGAGTGATAGTTCGGGGACAGGGTGGTGGAGATGGTTGAGGGAGTAGGGACAGGGTGGTAGAGATGGGGTGATAGTTTGTGGAAAGGGTGGTGGAGAAGGGGTGAGAGATTGGGCACATGGTGGTGGAGACGGGGTAAGAGATTGGGGACATGGTGGTAGAGATGGGGTAGGAGATTGGGGACATGGTGGTGGAGATCGGGTGAGAGGTTGGGGACTGGGGACATGGTGGTAGAGATGGGGTGATAGTTTGTGGACAGAGTGGTGGAGATGGGGTAAGAGATTGGGGACATGGTGGTAGAGATGGGGTAAGAGATTGGGGACATAGTGGTGGAAGGGCGGCTGTCAAAGTTATTGTAAACTCAAACAAGGCAGACTATGAGAGAAGGCATAAAATATCAGAAAGTGAAGACACAAAGGTCAAGGTCAAGGTTTGCGCTTTATTTGAAATGTTTATTCTCATTTTATTTATGTACAGCACTAGAGTCAAAGCTCAGGAGGTCAACATCTTAACTTGTGAACTGACAGTGGATATGGTTGCCTTCGTTCTGGCCCCAGCCTCCCATGGACCTGCAATTGAAGAAAAAAAATAATAATAATGATAATCTATTTGTTGACCAAGTTATTCATTGGAAACTCGGAAACGAATCAGACAAAAAGATACGATGGAATCTAAGACCTAGAGAGAAAAAAAAACAATTATATTATGTAAGTGTAATGTGTTACATTTACATGGCTTTGATAGAAGGTACACTCGAAAAAAGTGCCAATGGTTAACGTTTGATGATACATGGGCGTTGTTGGAGAGAGATGACGCTCTGTTATAGCATTATTTGGGCGTTAAAAACAACCTTTTCTGTTAAAGGTCTTGACATGAGAGCTGTAATGAAAACATCTTGGTGCGCATGCTGAGCTTTATTTATTTATTCATTTAGGCATTTTTATATAGCGCTTACCATAAAGCTCTAAGCGCTTTGCAATTATTAAAAACATGATGATTTATGTTTTGACTTCCATTACATCCGATGTCCTCTGGTGTTCCATTATAGCTTCTGGTTTGACATGACATGGTCACATCTGCCTCATTGCCTGTTTAAACAGCTCAGTTCTTAACCGTGGTTTAAAACGTCACGTTTTCTATTAGCTAGAACAGTGGTTCACAGAGTGTGCCTCGGTGGCCCATTTGAAGAGCCGTGGTTTTACTTCACTTGGGGTGCCGTGAAATAGTTTTAAAAGTTCATAATTTTAGTTCATGTTTCAATTTAATGGTGCAGGGCGTGACACCTAGCGGACATAGTGCTGAAGAGTAACTCAATTTGGACTAAATACTTGCCGAAGCCTCTCTAAATGGCTACTTGGTGGCATTCTGTCATAACCTTTGTTTTTTGTTGTTGTTTTTTTTTGGTTTGTTTGCTTAGGCTAGAACTCTGGGTACTCTGAATTCGTATATTAGTAAAAATAATTTTTGTAGTATTTATTCGTATATATCGGTTTTTACTTTACACTTATTGACTATTTGGCATTGAACTCATTTCAATTTGACCTATTGCGCCCCTGTGACCATCTGGATTGAGCACGGTCGCCCAGAATAGGAAACGCTTGGGAACCACTGAGCTTAAGTTTTTTGTTGTTTTTTTTTCATTGTCTACTTCCGTTAACACATCCAATAGCCTTCCCCACACATATCCCCACAAGTGTACTCACGTGCATGTCGCGAGGTACTCGGCACTTCTGGCATCGTTGTGGAGGTCGACTGCCATGCCCTGGTAATGTCTGGAGCCACAGCTATGACAAGCACCGGCGAGCTCATTGACCTGGCGGGAGAACAAAAGAGGTGGGTCAGTCTCTTGTAGATCACGTGAGAGGCGATTCCTGTGTTGTCCTACGAACTAAGGTCTCATGGGTTTGAATGTGGGTTAGGGTAATAATGGGGCTGGGGGGTGAGGGGGTGGGGGTCATCCGGATTTTCATTTATTTGTATTGAATTTTTTTATTTTGTTTAACCTGGACGGTACCATTACTTTTGGTCGCTAAAAAAATTGGATGGAAAATTTTAAGGAAAGCTCAATTTTCGAGACGTTATAATTACTGGATGGCATAGTTACGGGAAGGGTATATTTGCGGGATGGTATATTTGCGGGATGATATAATTACGGGATGGTATAATTGCGATATGGCATAATTACGGGATGGTATAATAGTGGGATGGTATATTACGGGATTGTATAATTGCGATATGGCATAATTACGGGATGGTATAATTGCGATATGGTATAATTACGGGATGGTATAATAGTGGGATGGTATATTACGAGATGGTATAATTGTGAGATGGTATCATTACGGGATGGTATCATTACGGGATGGTATAATTGTTGGATGGTATAATTACGGGATGGTATAGTTGCGGGATGGTATAATTTTGATATGGTATTGTTTCTGGGGGGGGGGTATACTTACTGTAGGGCATTCTTACGGGGTGGTATAATTGTGGGAGGGTATTATTACTGGACGGTATACTTACTGGACGGCATACTTTACGGGATGGTGTAATTACTGAGTTGTATAATTACAGTGTGGTATAATTACGGGAGGGTATCATTACTGGATGGTTACATTGAGCCAAGTGAATGTTTCGAGGGCAGGGACAGAAACCTTGTCGAAGTTATTATGAGTTTAAACACCTAAAGATAATCGGTGTTCTTAAAAAAAAAAAAAAAAAGAAGCTTGCTGCGTGAATTTGTTTACACAACAAAAAGTGTTCCAAAGGCGTTGTCAAGAGATGGGAGCAATGTTGAGGTGGGGCGGGGAAAGGTGGTGTGGGATTGTTTGCTTGTTTGTTTGTTTGGTTTTTGTTTTTGTTTTTTAAGAGGGGGGGGGGTAAGTTTTGCAAATAGTTCATTTGTGTTGTATTATCTATAGCTGTACTCACGGTTACTTGTCCCTTGGCGACGAGGGCGGTCAGGTAGGCCAGGAGACTGTGGCTCAGGCAAACAGAGCCACCTGGGGCGCCAGGAGATGGGCACTCGGAGCAGGTGTAGCTGAAAGAAGACACCAAAAAAAACAGTTAGGTCATGGGATCACAACTTAATGACTTACTATGATCATTATCAGTGTCTTACTGTGATCTTTGAGCTATGTGATCTATGAGCCATGTCTTAATGTGATCTATTTGCCATGAATTTCTGTGATCTATGAGCCATGACTGACTGTGATCTATGAGCCATGCATTTATGTGATCTATGAGCCACGACTTTCTGTGATCTATTTGACATGAATTTCTTTGATCTATGAGCCATGACTTACTGTGATCTATGAGCCAGGTTGCCGTCGCACATGTCCTTGATGTTGTTGTAGGCGTAGGCGCTGTCGGCCACGCCCGAGGGGTGCCGGGTGGCCAGGTGAAGGACGCCGGCCGTCTGCTTGGCCAGCAGACCACAGGCCAGGGTGACACTGGCGGCAGGGCAGGCCGCTCCATAGGCGGTGGCGAGGGTGACAGCGAGGACGAGCAGAGTGTTCATGGCTGAGCGTGTGAGTTATCGAAGAACGATGTCTGGATTGGGGAATGGGACTCGGTATATATAGCAGTGTTCAAGGTCAAAGAACTGTATCCTAATTATGGCCCTTTTCTTACCTTTTTTATTTTATTATTGTTTTATTTTTTTTTTCGTATAATTCTTGTTGTTGTTTTTGCCTGTTTTATAGATACTGTTAAACTCTTTTTTTTTTTAAATCGAACGTCAATCACAACCCATGATATTAAATCAGAGAACTTTTACATTTAACTTAATTTTTTTTTTTTAGGAACATGATACTTGCCTGCTAAAGATTAAACTTTAGATAATCGAATACAACCGCTACCTTTTTGTGAAAGACTTTATTGAACTTCCTTGTTTTTTCATATTTTTAGCGCCACGAAGTTGAAACTCCGCCCACAGTTTCGATGGTCTATGTCAGGGGTGGCCCAACACGAGGCCCGCGGGCCACGTGCGGCCCGCCGGGAGTCATGTTGCGGCCCGCGGAACTAGGTCAAATGAACATCAATGTTAACTTTATTTCACATAAAACAAAAAGAACATTACATCATGAGTCGCTCGTGAGATATATTTTTAATTTATAGTTATGAGTAATTTAAAATATCTCGCAATTTTCTGGACAGTTCATAGGTTTGAACTATTTGAAAACTCTCGCTAGTTGACACTCAAGATTAATTATTTTGTCTCTTTATCTGAGGCTAGGTGTTGACAAACTTTATTATCAGACTTCAACTTTTGATATATTATACATTCTGTGGTCCTCGGCATCTTCGGGAAGCTGACAACGCTTGCATCGGGCTCATACTCCTAACTACTTTCAGTCCAGCGTGACAAAAGCCCCGTGTTATCGTGTAGTTTCATTCTGTTATCTGTCACTGCGTCTCGAAAGATTTTACCATCGACGTCAATAGGAGTGTTTATCAAATTTATAATAAGAGTTCAAACTACTTGAACCAAAGTATCCCGTCTAGCATATCGCTTCTAGAGGTAAGTAAACCATTTCTATCAAGGGTGTTGATGTCCGTTTTAAAAAAGACAGAAGCATTAGCGGCACTGGATCCACTTAAGGGCACTAACCCACTTAAGGGCACTGACCCACTTTAGGGCACTGACCCACTTAAGGGCACTGACTAAGTCACGAGATTCGCTAGAGGCGGTCACATCGACGTTGAATCGCTTTTCGTTTCAACTTAAAAACTTATCAGGCCTCACAGCGGATGGTGCTCCAGCGATGGTGTGGAAAACGAAGGATTAGTAAAAATTGATTGGAAATGAGGCCTCCACAGTCGGTAATACTTCAATGCTTAATTTTCATCAGGAGAATTTGTGTTCGAAATCCCTCAAAATGGACCATGTCATGAAACTGGACAAAATAGTGATCTTCATTAGGTCGCAAGGGTTGAATCACCGTCAGTTCCGAGAATTTCTTAAGTCTTTGGACTCAGATTATAATGACGTTACAATTTATGCCGAAGTAAGATGGCTGACCCGTGCCAAAATTTTGAAAACAGTGTTTGTGTTTGATTTTCAGCAAGAAATACAATTATTCTTTGCAAGCAAGTCAATAAGTATCCCAGAGTTTGAAGACAAAGAGTGGGTTTGAGACTTTGCATTTCTGGTCGCTAGAACTAGCCACCTAAATGACGTCAATAGTCGTCTACAAGGGAACGATCAATAAATCAATAAGATGCATGATAATTATTTCTTCATTTCAAATGAAACTTAAGTATTTGGGAACAACAGTGGAGGACAATAAACTTGGCTCATTTTCCTGCACTGTCATTGCAAGCAGACGTCACACAGGAGGTGGCGGATAAATACGATTCTTTAATATCCGAATTAAACCTCAAATTTGAAAACCGATTTCAGGATTTTAAATAAAAAAATATATCATGTGCTTTTTTTGTGCATTTGCAAACACTGTGCGCGGTAGACGTTAGTTTATTGCCATGAAGATTACAAATGGAACATTGTGAAATGTGTTGTGATACAAGAGTTAAGGGAGAAATTCCATCAAGTTGGTTCGGAAGAGTTCTATAAAATGTATTTGGACAAGGATAAATATCCAGCCTTTCACCAACATGCTCTGCCGATGGTTTTGCAATTTGGAAACACATATGCGTGTGAACAGCTAATTTTTAATCCTATGAAGCACATCAAATCTCAATTGTAAATACGAATTACTGATGTTCATTTTGAAAAAAAACTTGTTTGCGTGTAGCGACATTAGTCAAGATATTTTTTTTTATTTTTTTTTGCACTTTGTTCTGCAAAACAAATCAGATTTCTCTTCTTTTTTTTTAAACTTGTTTTATAAATATGTTTGGTTCTCAGTCGTGTTTTTCTTTCATCAAAAAAAAAAAATAAATAAACATATTTCATGTTTTGGTTACATTACACAAGGCAAGAGATATTTTTTTTTTTTTTTTTTTGCACTTTGTTCTGCAAAACAAATCAGATTTTTCTTCTTTTTTTTTAAACTTGTTTTATAAATATGTTTGGTTCTCAGTCGTGTTTTTCTTTCATCAAAAAAAAAAAATAAATAGACATATTTCATGTTTTGGTTACATTACACAAGGCAAGCGCTTTGAACAGGATCTCGCCTACTAGGAAGCGACGATGTGGTCGAAGCTGTAACACGCTTGCTTATTTACTTTAATTTTTAAAAAAACTAATTAGGTGCATGGCCCAACAGGAAGTATTATTTCTGAAATTTGGCCCGCCTGCTGAAAAGGTTGGCCACCCCTGATGTAGGACATTCATAATTATTATATTTTGACAAATACTTTAGTTGTACGCTGAAACTGTATTTAGGATAGAGTAGGATCAGGAGCTGTGTCCAGGATTTTTTTATGTGTCTAGATGACATAAAGATCATTGGATGTCATGTCCTTTGTAGGTCTAGATGACATGAAGATAATTGAATGGGATGTCCATTGTATGTCTAGATGGCAGTGAGGATCATTGGATGTGATGTCAATTTTATGTCTAGATGGCAGTGAGGATCATTGGATGTGATGTCAATTTTATGTCTAGATGGCAGTGAGGATCATTGGATGTGATGTCAATTGTATGTCTAGATGGCAGTGATGATCATTGGATGACATGTTCTTTGAAAACTTCAAAGAGATTACCCGTGTATACCATGTTTGGAGTGTATACCATACTTGGAGTGTATACCCTGTTCGGACGGTATGCTATGATCGATGTGCTTATTCCTTTAAATTCCCTTATCCTATTTGGAGATGGAAGTTTGAGAATCCCTCTGCCTTCAGATCGCTTCTGAGATGAACCTTTATGTTGACTCACGAGGGATGGGACGTACCAGTTAGGCCATAGGCAGGACGACTTCAGACAGGGTTTGACCTTATCAGCACGCCTTCCCGGAGAAACGTGGGTGGTGTCTGCCTGGTGTCACCAAACAGCAGCATATTAATATCACCAATGAGGCATTTAATATTTCCAGATGTCCTGAAGAGTGATGCCAAATGCCTATGTTACCGCGTTGTGAGCCATGGTGCACTCATCCTAGACAATCTTTGTGTCCACCCGAAGTACTTGAGCTGCGCTACATAGCTTCGAAATGTTGCAGACAGTAGTCTCAAGGTGACCTAAATGTTTAGGCAGTTTGAAGGCAGAGTGCATCTATGCGAGACGAAGCTACAGAGATCGAAACTTTCCTTTTCTACGCTGCGGAGACACAAAGTCACCACGCATCGTTCAATGAAAATAACTTGCTATCAAATCCCATGATTTGTCACCGAGAAAAAAAATCAGTTGATTGAAATCCCATATCCGGTTGCTTTGTCCTTTTTTTTTTAATTTTATGTTTAGATATTTTGAGTGTATCAGCTTGTCTGGAACCAAGTTTTAATTTTCCAAAATGTTGAAGACCGCTTAACTTTTTTCTTAGATTTTTTTTTTTTTTTTTTTTTTAGACATCTCGGAACTCTGACATGCCCGAAAATCAAATTTTCTCAGATGATCAAAACATACAAAATTAAGGATCGCCACTCATCGTTAGTCCACTTTCACTTTACCAAGTTTTGTCGTAATACTTGCTATGAAATGTCTATACTCTGAAATTCCTTGCTACCATATAACAGGACTCAATGATTCTGAAAATATTATGTATAACACAATGGTTCTCTTAGACTTATTTCAAAGAAATCTGATTTTGTGCAAATTGTTTTACGTCGATACGTTCAGGACAGTTCGATTACGATTCTTGAAACATACTAGCAATGCTCTGTCTTCAAACTCCTTATGGCAATATTTTTTTTTTAAATCTTACGGTAATAGTCGTAATTTTTTTTATATAAATCCTCGAACAAAAAAATTGTGGAATGAGGTAGTGAAATTATGTAATTATTTTTTTTAAGCTGGAAGGGTTGTGGGGGGGGGGGGTTCCTATGTAATTAAAGTTTACTTCCGGGACACTTGAACAATCTTGGGGACACTTGAACAATCTTGGAGACACTTGAACAATCTTGGAGACACTTGAACAATCTTGAAGACACTTGAACAATCTTGGAGACACTTGAACAATCTTGGAGACACTTGAACAATCTTGGAGACACTTGAACAATCTTGGAGACACTTGAACAATCTTGGAGACACTTGAACAATCTTGGAGACACTTGAACAATCTTGGAGACACTTGAACAATCTTGAAGACACTTGAACAATCTTGGAGACACTTGAACAATCTTGGAGACACTTGAACAATCTTGGACATTCAAAAATCGTGTCTTAAAATAAATATTTATTTTTAAACATTTGTTTTTTTTTACATATCTATTGAACCCCTCGTTGTACTCAAGCTGATTCCTGTTATGGCTCTACCGCTCTCATCTGTCCCAACTATCGTCGCAATGTTGGACACAGAAGACACTGTCTCGGTCCATGCATATATATGACACATGAAAAGTCTCGGTTAAGGCATATATATGACACATGACAAGCCTCGGTCCAGGCGTATATATGACACATGACAAGTCTTGGTCAAGACATATTTATGACACATGACAAGTCTTGGTCA